GCCTACAAAAATTATGCCTGAAAGAAGAGATCCACAGAATCGTTAAAAAGTTGCAACATATCAGATCTGAAATTGAGCAATTAAAACAAAAGCCAAAAGGAATAGTTACCAATGTAGATCATGATCTTATAACACAATCCTCCGGCAATGCAAAATCAGCGACTATCCAGTAAATAATACTGTTTCACTGTGTGATATATCTAATAAACAAACTAATATGGAATTACTTACTACCACAGTGCCCAAGTTTTACACATATACTCGAGAAATATAAACAAAAAGGTAATATTGTAAGTTTCTAAACATACTGAATGCGTCGGGGGTTCAGTGGTGGACTCCTTGCCAACAACATAGTTGGTCAACAGGTCAGTTCGCGACAGGCAGGTACACTGTTAACCCTCGCTTAACAGGAAGAAGTCTTGGGAGGGAGGATAGCAACCTGACCTCGTAAAATAAAACAAAGCTGCCGCTACAGAGACTTCATAGTTCAGGCTTGCTAGCCTCACGCCAAATGCTCCGCCATTTCTGGGCTCACTACCAGTAGACTTGGTTTAGAAATGCGTCGCCTGGCCTGGGAGTCGAACCTTAGCCACGACCGTCGTTTATGAGTATTCTACAACTGAACACACTGAGATTAACTCAAAATAATTATATATAAATATACATATTATATGCAATTCAGTTTCAAGTCGATGACATTCTTAAATTCAACCATAGATGCATAACATTTTACTCACCATTAATTGATAAAGTTGCCTGTGTCAAAATAAGTAGTAGAGATATCAATAACACTTGTGAATGGAGCATATTGTCTTTTAATAAAAACAGTACGACAAAGTTAATTAACTAGACAATTTTCAAATATGAAATAAGTGCTGTGGTTTGATCCACTCACAATTATAATACTTCGTAATGTAAATATTCAATTAATCGTATGTAGGCTGTGTATAACAACCTGTTTTTGTTATGAACGATTCAACCAATCACTGTTCAGTATTGAATGAATATGGCCGCACACTGAATGATTGTTGTTAAACACATAGGACTGGTCACTATTGATGACTATCACATATAATAGGATGACTGTGGCTAGATTAGGTTAGAACTACTGTGTGTGTGTGTGTGATAGGATAACATGTCACGATACTTCAAATATTCAAATGGAACTCATCGATTGGTTAGTGCAGGAGTAGCCAATGTCATAGTCTGTAGTGGTGACTAAATTTTATCTGTAGACTTTGTACTTCATTAGATAATATCTCGAAAAATCTTGACTTTGAATTGTTAGTGAAGCCAATCATGTGAATTATTATATATATTTTGTTAATTACTCCTTACCGTTCTAACAAGGGAACATAGGGATTCAAGATTGAGTTCTGAATTTTAAGTAACCGTGATAACATCCTTTTTTTCGGGGTAGGATCGCTAACCTCACTTCGTCTTTAGCGGGCTTACTACCTGCTAAATGGGGTTTGGTGAGTGTGTAGTGTACATTGAACCTTCGAACTTTTGTTTGAACGGACTCACCTGACCTTTATCACCACTTCCTCTTTCGATTCGTGAATCTCCTGTATGGCTTTGGTTTCGCTCTCTCGTTGTGCTTTCATCCGGCACACTCTCCGAGCTTACCACCGTCTCGACTGCAGATAAGTGTATACCCTCTTATTCTTTATCAAATCTCATATCTCTTTTGTGTAAATATAACTCTGTTCCAGTCACGCTAGTCATCTCAAGTCTTTTTACCTTGATTCAGTTCGTTAGTATATGCACATTAGGCAGAGTACAATTAAGGTCGTAAAGCGGTGAAGGAGTTTTTGTAAGAGTGGCTAATTTAGGTCAAAGTTAACCTAAGTCTAACTCTTACAAGTGCATCGACTGGGATTTGAACACCTGATCACGTGGGTGGTTGACAAGAATGCTCAACAGTTGTCTCTGACCTCTGCCTCGGATTAGGCAGATTTAAATGTCTAAAGCAACACGATTTATGAATTGGTCGGTCAACAAAGTGGCCTCTTTGGTATTAGGTGGTTGGAGGCAATCGGTCACAGGAAGCCTCGGACCTAGGTTTCGTGCTAGTTGGCACTCACTAGTCAGCAAGGCGTATCTGCAACCCTGAAGGAACTCATGTCCCTTCTGAGATTCGAACCCGTGTCACCAAGTGAGCACTGCAGTCAGAGACGTTACCACTGAGCTATTCAGGCTCGCGACTGACCTCCTGTAGGACTGTATTGAATATTTTTGATTGCACACTAGTCAGTAACTAGTGTAATGTGTCTAGTCCTATGTTCGGTGAAGACTGAATTCTATCAGTCATGCTTGCAATATGGCCACCATGATAGGTGGCTACGTTACCACTGAGCTATTCCGGTTCGCAGAAGGGACATGAGTTCCTTCAAGGGTACAGATACGCCTTGCTGACTGGTTAGTGCCAACTAGCACGAAACCTAGGTCAAGCAAGGCTTCCTGCCTGCCGATTGCCTCCAACCACCTAATACCAACAATTCATAGTGCACCGTAATGGCGAGCCACCTAGCATGGAGGCCACATTGCAAACATGACTGATAGAATTCAGTCTGCACCGGATATAGGACTAGACACATTACACTAGTTACTGACTATTGTGCAATCAAAAATAAAGCGGCCTCTTTTTTCGTAACTTTTCTTCCAGTTTGTAAGGTTATTTAGAAACTTATATGTACCATGTTAACTGACAACAAAGATCAGAGGTTAATGTTATTTAGTAACAAAGATAAATCAAAGTGTATGAGAAAGAACAATCTTTGGAAAATAGTGAATATTCTTACTCGATTGGGGAAGTTCACAACTAATCAGTTAAGTGATGAATATTTTATTCCTTAGCTTTCCGAGTGGAACATAAAGCCTCACGCTTCAGCCTTGAGGTTTCAATAGGAATAGGTTTTTTACCTGGTGTAATTGCTAATCTCACGCCCAACCTTTCCTCTTTACCGGACTTATTATTGGCTAAATGGGGTTTCTGAGTGAGTCAGCTGGGAATCGAACCGCAGACCACATTCGTGGATGGCTAGTATTCTACCACCAAAATACAGACATGCAAACCACTTGCAGACGCCGAGTGTCAAACCCAGATCGACTGTTTGGAAGGCAACCATGATAACCACTACACCACAGTCGCGGCTAAGTGATCAGTAAACATTTGTAAATGACTGATAGGAAACAAGAGCACAAGGAGGCGAAAATGAGTGTTCTAAGTGACAGAGACAATGTTAAGCGCGAAACCTATGACTTCCTTTGTTGTTAATAACATAATTTTAGGCTCTTTTTATTTTGTATTCTACAGTGAACTCCTTCTTAACCATACTTAGCTACCTAAATTATTAACATTGGCTTACTTTTTGTACTTTACTGTATTCCTTCTTTTGTGTATCTACTGGTTCCGACTATATTAGCACTATGAGTATTACAAAACTGTCCTGTCACTAACCTTCATGTAATTATTAGTTTTTGTGGTTGTTCTTTTTCGATAATATTAACTGACAATCATTGGTTGTAAACGCCATTATCGCCATCTTAAAATTTTGTATTATGCAGGATTACTCACTCTACCACTACAAACACCGCATTAGACCTGACAATAAAAAACAACCCTGAAATGTTATTTTATGATTGTTTAGTGTTGTTTCAACCAAATTAACTGATCATCTTGGAGATAAACATCCTTAAATATCATTTCATAACTTCTTGTATGACTATAGCTTTACTGTCACCATGCATAATCATATCATAGCTTCCACTACTCAATACTGAGATATTATTATATGCTATTTATTTTCCTTTCTACTTCTTGGTATTTTTTTGCATCTTTTAAAAATTTTCTTTTGTGTTTTTGTTTTTTTTTGCTGTTGTTGTCTTTATATTTATTTGTTTTTTGAAATACTCCTTTTAAATTTTGGATAAAATTAAATGCAAATATTGTAGATATGTGCTGAAAATTCCACACTGCACCACTAGTACTGTTTCTGGAATAAAGCAAATTATTATTATTATTAATATTATTATTAAAAGAGATAAGAATAACAAGATTTCATAGAGTAGGTTGTACAACAAATGAAATAGACACTAAGGTCATGATGGTAAAATAGGCTGGATAAAGCACTTCCAAAACACAGACCCCAGGTAATCTCGGATGGATTGCTGAAATTCCAGTTGCATAAATGAGATGTCAGCAAAATCCTTATGAACAATTTGATCTTACTTCTTACACATGACTTTGAATGAAGTCTCTGCTGATGTTGCATGAAAAAAGTAACAATGTACTACTATCTAGTAAACTGATCGAATCTCCACATAAGATAGGGAAATTCAAGTAGGAAAAGTACTGCGTTGCTGCAGAATCTCATGAAGTAACAGCATTGCGGTGCAGCATTTTGTTTACATCGTCATGTTCAACAGATCTTATTGTATGCTGTACTATAACAAGATTTAACAGAAATGTCGCTAACACAAAACACCCCAATATGATATTAGCCACTGGAGGATGTAATAAGTATGAAGTAATCATTAATTCATTCTTCGCATTTTGTGGACCAATAATGAAACCCCGATTTCCTTCAAAGAAGAAAACCACGCGAGCTAAATAATCAACCAGAGCAGTTACACTCTGAGACATACAAGAGAACTCAGATTCCGGAAGTAGGGAGTTCATATTGCAACAAGGTGAAAAACATAAGGATACAGTATTATTTACTGGATGACAAAGTTTCGAACACAATTTATTGCTGTTCATAATGATATCAGTTGTAATCACGCAACTTCGAAACGTGAGTTTTATAGTTTTCTTTACTTTTTTCCTATTCGTAGTCGTTGGGGTGGTAGAATTTTTCAGATGTCTGGGTGGACAGGTGTTGAATCATTCCTATTACACGTTGATTCGCACTCGATTCGATAAATAAAAATTCCGTTATCAATCTCTCCCTCCACCCTGCTGTTACATTAGATTTTAGAACTATCGTCTTATCCCATTCTGTTGTAAGGTTGTGTGTAATTGCATGTAGTGAGTGGCGTAGCTGAACTACTCTCCAGATTTCTTGTCTCATTTCGGTCAACTAATCTAGATTTTGCTACTTGGTTGTTGTACTTCACTGGTCTGACTGACTGACTACTACTTTCAACTATGCATCTCACGTGATAATCATTCCACCAGGGTATTCGATAAACTAAATTGTTTTGTTGAATTCACTCCACAGGAGTGATCCTCTAACCGACAAAGCTTGTTCCTAATTAAGTTTAGGCGCTGTTTGAATTCCAACCACTTTTACTCCTGCCTGCATTGTTAAGAATTCTCCAGAAAGTGGTATCCGAGGTTCCTTCTCTGCATGGAAGTACTACTGATGGTGATTTATATTCCCTATTGTTGGTGTTGTCATTATCCTGTGCATGTTTGACATGCATGTCGTCACTAATATTATTATTATCATTATCACTACTATTATTTACTTTATTTTCACATTTTCCTTTCTAATTTCTGATTCATTTATCAGGGTAATTATTAAGTTTCTAAGCTTCTCTTATATGCCTCACTTCCTGTCTTAGATTCGCCTTGGTACTACTTAGTTTTTGTAACCTGTTACTTGAACATTTCACCAATCCCATTTTTACTGACATAGGGTGGGATGAACGGAAATCGGAAATCAAATATTTGTTTGAATGTGTGGGTTTCTTGTGAACACTAGTGTTTAACTTCCCATCTTCTTTCCTTCTTACGCTACAATCTAACATTGGGAGCTCACCCCCTTCCTGAGTTTCCAATTCATAAGTGAATTGAATCG